CCAAACTAGAAGTGTGGGCCAACTTCTTCTCCCAGCGGGTCATTGAAGAATGAAATAAACTTCTTTCCTCTGTTTTCTTTGTGAATGCGTCTACGCATTCAAAAGAAGGCTTGATCTTACTTTGCTTGCTGGTCATACATTTGGTAGACAACAACGATTTATATAAAGTATATGCGACTTTGAACGACATGCATAATCTGACAGCATCTATCTGTAAACAGGGTTTTCAAAGGCTCTGCCTATCTCCCTTATATATACTGAATTATACTGAATTACCTAAATATATGGAAGTCATTTGAATGCTCGGAGGTTAGACAGGCCTTACAAAATGACTTGGATTGCTTGCAACAGTAGTGTGCAGCTCAATTTTAGCAAATGCCAAGTCATCCGGCTACAGTCTGGTCACAGAAATGTGAAAACATTTGAGTATGACTAATTGATCAGAGGTCACCAACTCGGGCAAGGGAAAGAATTGCAGGATCTAGGAGTATGTATGACGCCGAAATTCAAATCGTCAACTCACTACGCCAAAACCGCAAAGAAGGCTATGGGCATTCTAGGAGTGATCAGAAGATCCTTCCTCTTTTTTGATGAGGAGCTTTTTGGGCCAGTCATAACAACATTTGTTCGTCCGATGTTATAATATTGCGTCCAGGTGTGGTGCCCCTGGATGAAGAAAGATTACGCAGTGCTGGAGAAAGTTCAGCGAAGAGCGACCAAATCATTCAGCAGCCTAGCAGGTCTACCATATGAAGGTCGACTAGATAGGCTTAATCTTTTTACTTTCTGTTACAGGCAATACAGAGGAGATATAATCATGGTGTTCAAACTCCTCAGGGGAGTAGACTGTGGCCTTCAGATGGCTGAATTCTTTGAATTCGCACAAACGACACATTTCCGAGGTAATCCATAAAAGCTAAACTAGAAGTGCGGGCCAACTTCTTCTCCCACCGGGTCATTGAAGACAGGAATAAACTTCCTTTCTCAGTTGTTTTTGCTGAAAGCGTCAACACATTCAGAAGAATCAATAAATTAACTGTATATTTACGGCCCAAAGTGCCCTTTCATTACACGATGGTCATACATTTGGTAAACAACAACGATTTATATAATGTACATTTATGGCTTTAAAACATATGCATGATTTGACATCATTTATCTGTAAATAGGGTTTTCAATGGCCTGTCTGTCTCCCTCATATATACCGGAATCATACTGAAAATAATAAAATTGTTTCATCGACGTTTGAGGATTTCTGCCGCCAACGCAAC